TAGCGTTGCTTGTTTGTGTTTGTTTGTTCTTAGCGTTGCTTGTTTGTTTGTTCTTAGCGTTGCTTGTTTGTTCTCTGAGCGTGAACCCACTTGAGTTTGGGTTTTGGCGTGCTGAGGACGCTGTCGTCATCATCCAGTTCTGGACCACTGTCACTGGGGTTCTCAAACTCCACAGAGTCCAGGTCCAGATCTTCCTCCTCCACCTCAGGAGGCGGCTCTGCCGGGTCCCGCTCCGAGTCCAGCACCTGCCCAGGTGGACACATCACACGTTGCGTCACCAGAGAAGAAGAACCTTGAGGCGGTGCATAAGAGAAGAGCTCACCTCATCTGAGACTCTGAAGCGTCTCAGGAGCGCCACGACTCGCTGCTTAAAGTTCTGCTGCTAAAAGACACAAACACAGACAGTCTGACTGAGATTCAGTTCTGACCCGGGACAAGTCCAGGTCCAGGTCCAGGTTAAGGTACAACATAACGTCTTCAGCATCTCTGCTCGAGGTTCCACAGCATGTTCACATCAAAGAACGTCGCGGTTCTAAAAACTTCATCTTCTGGATTTTATCTGAACTGTTTTTATTTACAGGTGAGACCAGATGTTTCCTCACATCAGGAATATTATTATTTACAGGTGAGACCAGATGTTTCCTCACATCCTGAATAAAACAATCTTTTAGGAGGACCTGGACAATGACAGAAAGCCTTCTTTGGGCTTCATCTCTCAACTAGAACTTTTGATCAATGTTTCTTTTCTTCTGGCCTTTTCTCTCCAAACATCTGGTTTCTAATCTGAACATTCTGACCTGGACCTCAGATGCTTTTGGTTCCTGAGTTTGTCGTTGTCGCTTCTTGTCTCTCACCCGGGTGATGGAGGGAGTCCTCACGATGGATCTCCTTTGCTTCTTTGGTTTTCTCACGTCAAAATCATCAAATTCAAGATCCTGAAGTGAAGAAACTAGAGGTTTTCCTTTTTTCACGACTAACCCAACGTTTGTGTGAATGTGGAGCTGAGCGGACTCACCGGTCCCTGCACGGCGTCATCGCTGACCTCCTGCTCCGAGGAGAAGCTCTCATCCTCTTCCTCAGAGTAATCTGCAGCGAATGGCAGAAGATCCAAATCAAACACACATACATGATGCTCAAAACTGAACGGTCTGTTCAGCCCAGCAGGTTGTCACGGTCTGGTGCTGTTTGAGGCCCAGAACCTCCTGGGGACGGGAAGCGTACCAGAACATTTGGTCTTCTGTCCTGCCTGCAAGGCGGCCTCCTCGTGGTCTATGGGCTGGCTGCAGAGGGAGAAGATCCAGAGCTCAGCCACTTTGCCCAGCAGCTCCTTCTGGCTGCTGCAGAGAGGCAGAACCTGACCTCCTTCTGCTGGGTGCTGCATCACCTGCAGGTCAGAGGTGAGAAGAAACAGAATAAACTGAGTGAACATTAACTGTACCTGTCTCCAGACCAGAAGACCTAAAACCAGGTTTGACCCATGGGCCACGCAGAACCCGGACCTGTAAGACCTGAATCTACCTAAAAGCTCTTCTGTGAACAGAACCTGTGTTTGGGCTTCAGGACTTTCTGGACATTGAACTACTTCTGAAGAAGTCTCCTCTTCATTTTCTGTGGTTACTTCCTCGCACCATGAACCTGTCCTAGCTCCAGACCTCTGGTCTGGTCTGGAGGTCTCCGGTTGTTTGAGTGCTAAGACAGTGGTTTGGTTTGGACTTGAAGATAAATTAGATTTAGTTTTTGAGCTCCTCCAGTCAGTCTGCAGTCTGTCTTCAGATGTCTGTGTGTTCATACCTCTGCCATATCGATGGACCCCACAGCCAGAGTCTTGTAGCCTAAAATGGTCCGGTTCTTGTACCTTTTCCTCCTCTGAAGCAGTATCTGCAGCTTGTTCCCTTCTCGTTTCAGGAAGTGAGGGTACTAAAAGAGCAGAGACAACGAGAACCACAAAAATCGGATGCGGATCCAACCAAATGCAGATTAGCAGAACTGTGCAGGATATTTAAAAAAGAACAAAAAAGTTAAACTGAGTCAAGACATTACCAAAGTTATTTATGAAGGTGTGAGTAGACAGACAGTTTTTACCTGTAGTGAGAAGGTAAGAGCCAGGTCAGTCTCCACCATGCCACTGGGGGGCAGCACAATCTCATGGGACCTTAAAATGCGTTTAGAGCCCTGGGGAAGGAAGAGTGAAAGTGGTGCTTTATCTTCAGAGGTTTTCTGCAGGGAGGTGCATTTCTGCACACTTTACTATAAAGCTGTGGGTGCAGAGACTTCAGCAACAATTAACATTACATTTATATAATTATTTTATGATCAAAACCATATTATTAAAAACAGTTTAAAATCTTTTTATTTAATTTTGTGACCCCAGATCCCGTCAGATGAGTGTCTTCTTAACTCCTTATTCAAACCATTTCCAATGACTGTGACACCTAAATATAAAAGAAGGTTTGTGAACTTCTTGCTGCAGGTATTTTTAATCAAACGTACCTGGATCTTGACTGCAATGACCACAGAAATCATCTCTTTGTCAAGTTCCCTCAAAACAACCAGCTTCTTCAGAGTCAGGCTGCACAACCTGAGGAGGAACACAACTTGAACTCCCCCATCAAACAAACAGGTGAGTGTTAGCGGCACGCTGGACTGTAAAAACACACCACAGCCCGTCCTTCAAACATGACGTCGCTCCTCAACGAGTCCATCAGCAGCCGGTTCTAGCCAGGCTCCATGGAGGTTTTGAAGGAACTCGCCACCACGGGGCTCTGGTCTGTGAAGACCTTCCAGCTCTTAGAGCAGGTCGTGTTTCTAACCTTTATGCTGCGCTCAGATATGATCACATTCTGCTGAAGGGGAAGACAATCATGTTTTCAATCATCTTTGCTTGTGAGTTTGACTTTTAGCAAAATATCTCATAAACCAGTGGAATGACTGGAATAAAACAGTCAGGAAATGACCGTTGGAGGTACATCTACATCTATAACTTGACTAAATCAAGAAAGAGCAAAGCAACTTGAGCAAACACAACAATGGTTTTAACTCTCAGTGAAATTTGATGTGGTAGTAGCTGAGCGGCATCGTCAACACGTCCTGTGCTTCCATGAGATCACACCTAATGTCAGTTACAAGATCTGATTTAAACTTCATCAGTTCTACACATCAGCTGATCTCGGTTAAAGACTGATCTGAAGGGCAGAGGGCGACGTGCATTCTGTCAGGGAAGATTTAATCAGGGGGTGACATGCATTCTGTCAGGGAAGGCTGGGCCTTTCATCAGGGGGTGACGTCTGATTTGCTTAGACAATCCAAAACTAACAGTGAATGTCCAGAAGCTGCATAAAGAGAACTGGATCCCAAAGTCTGAATAGATCTTTCCTTCAACACGAGCCTGCTCGTACACTTTCTGAATTATGAGAGTTTCCATGGAGATAATGGTTTGTGAGGTGAGTGCTACGTTTCACCAGCGGGAGAGCACAGAGACAGTTTGATGTGCGTTACATCGATGCACCTCGTGCGTTCAGACATTTCCATGAGTGCACGAACGAATCAGGGAAGCTGAAGGCTAAAAGCACCAGTCAGACGTCACAAAACACATCGGCCTAATGTGAGACCAAAAATAAGGTGAAGTGATGCCAACAAGAGATGTTAGCCGCTCGAAGCATAAAGAAATGAAAGAGTGAAGGTCAGAGTTTATGGATCCACCACTGGACAGTATCAATTGTTAGAGAGGACATGGAGGTAGTTGGAGTGAGGACAGAGGATGCAGAGGACAGAGATGGAGGAGGATGACTCGCTGTGGAGACCCCTGAAGATGGAAAAGAAGAAGAAGAAAGCAGCTGACTACAAACAGCACAGGTGTAACACTCGTTGACCCACATGGTGGTAAACGTGTGCACAGTACCGATCAGACAGTATAATTAACTGTTTTTATTTTAAAGTGATACAAATATAAGTTCTACAGGTTCTCCAGAAAGACAGGAATCACCTTCTGATATCCACAGGTCTACTGTAGACTGGTTTTATTTACAGCTGATATAACTTTATGAGAAAAATCACTGTTTCTACTCAACTTATTGAGGTTTGTCCTCTCCTAAATTTAGATTTATTAAAAAATCATTATGAACATAATCTCCTGAGAGCCTACATCCTGACGACTTTAGTTTTAGAACGGTTGGGTCGAGGAGCCACGATGGAACGGAGGTCGAACAGGACCTGGCACCTCTTGTCATGCTCATATAAATGACCTGGACCTGCTTTTCTGGCTCTCGTACGTTTTTCACTTTAACCACAGAAATGTCACGTTTTGATCAGAACAGATTTGACCAGAGATCAAAAGTGCGTTAACTTGAGGGATCTGCCCCTGAAAACGATCCTTCTACAAGCTCTGTCAGTCAAGACAAGTTACATGCTGTGCATTCATCCTGCTTGTAGTTTCCTCCAGGTGGCAGGAATGTGGTACTGTGGACTAATCTGGATTTTGTGCCCGAGGTTAGTGACTCTCATCCCTCATTAGCAGATGAGAATGAAAGTCGGTTGAATCTGTTGTGTCCGTGCACACGTTATTGTAGATGAACAGATGCTCAGATATATTCATCAATTAACGCGGATTCCTCATTTTTCTGAACTGAATAAAACGTGCATTGAATTTAATGAAATGCAAACGTGAGACGTCATTTATATTTGACCCATCAAAATGAATGCGGTCATTTATTTACAGAATCAAAGTTTAACATCAAACATTTACATTAATTTGGCAAATTATGAAAATAACAACATAAGCAATCAATCAGGAAAAATCATACGGCCATGATTTTTCCGTTGCTTCACCACCGACATTTATGAAACTGTACAATTATGATCTTTTACCCACACGGATGTGGATGAGCATTTTACACAGACATTTCTAAAATATCTGGAAGAATATCTACTTGATAGAACAGTTTAAAGATGGGAAAGAAGTTTAGAGGGAGTAAAGATGGTATGGGAGGGGAAGTGTTCACCAGAATTGACACTCTCCATCAGAACCCAGCTCTCCCCGGTACGCTTGGTAGGAAACTTGACTCGTTACCTTTCTGAAGTTAATCAGCAGATATGGAGCTCCGTTAACGCTACCTGTCCAGCGTCTCCTTAGGATGCTGTGAATCGTCAGAAGTAGTGGCAAGTGAAAATGTTATAATCCCATGGAACTCGGAAGAGCTCTGTTGTCATGTCAGGATCATCCCGTCTCTCACAGAACTGGGCTTCTCTCACAGAACTGGTTGAACTGTGTATCCAGCAGAACTCCAACAGCACTCCATCAGAACTGAACAGAACTGTCCCAGAACTGTTCCAGCACCATCCCAGAACTGAGTAGTTTACAGATCTCTCACTGAACTGAGTAGACCAGGAAGTACTGACATTTTAAAGAGCGGTTTTCCGGTCCATCTGGGAGTATTCCCATTGGCCAGAACCGACCAGACGGGGTGTGTTTTGTGACGTAAAAGGTTAGAATGCAGCAAGAATTGTTATGGAAAGATCAGAAATGTTCTCACAGACAGAGAGAGTTTTGTTTTGGCGTGTTTCAGAAACAGGTGCCCAAAACCTCTATATTTATGTCTGAGAGGATTCTAAAAACATGACAGTTCGTTCCAACAACTTGTTTTGCGTTTGACTCCAACCTTGGACCAACTTACACTTGCTCATTCAAAGGCAGAAATCAGAAAATGCATAAAAATCTGTAACAGACCTCAACATGAATTCTAACTTTGCATGAGAAAAAATCATTACACAGTTAACAAAATTGATTAGTTCACTGCAACATCTAAAATGGTTTGAACTAAGACATTTTGATTATCAACATTTGTAAAATAGTAATGATAATAAAAAGAGAGTGTTCTTTTCACTTGAATCTTCAAGAGAGAAAGTCTCAGGATGGGTGAACCTGCATTTCT